CCATCTTTGGGTCAATAAATTTCCGTAGAGCAAAGGAAAGTTTTTCGCACTTTAATTTTGTTTATCTGGGCGCACGGCCGAGTCAAAGGCAGAGCTGTTGCTGCCGCTGCTGCTGCTGCTGCTACTGCTGGGCGTGTTTTTAATTGCCGGGACAATTAAAAACAATTTTGCAGGCACCCAGAGCGGGGCAATAAATTTAATTGGCCGCAGTAACGCCCCCTTGAAAGACGCCCCTTTGACTTTTGTTGGCTTTTATATGACCCGCTCTCTCTATCTCTCAATTTCTCCCCCCATTCGCTGCCTTTCTCTCCTTCTCTGGCTGTCCTTGCCTTTCTATCTGCTATCTACGTTTTCCATTTCCAGCTTCATCTCCGACTCCATCTCCTGCCTGCCTCACCGACGTCGTCGTCGTCGCCGTCGTCGTCTGCTTTTATGGGTATTTTGGCTTGGCAGCCATTTTCGCACCTACTGACAAGGTGTCGGTGGGGCGCGCGCAGCAATTTATGCGGCTGTCAAATGCAAGCCAGCTTGATTTTTATTGGCAGCAAACACGCATGCCCACCCCACCAATCGCCCCACTCCAGCCCACGGCCCATGGCCCATGGCTTGGCTACCCTTCTTGCTTTTCGGGTAATTGCATTGAGCACATAAATCAATTGAATTGCAGTTTCATGCGACAAGTTTGGCCAGAACCCTCGTGGACCCTCGCCCTCATCGGCTGCAAGTGAAAGCCAAAGTAGTTTTTCCTTAGAGCTGTCTTTCATCTTTCCAGTGCAGCGTCCTGTCCGCTGTCCTGCTGTGAAACCCTTTCAAGCGTAGCATAATCAATTGAAATTGCATGCAATGCGTCAAAGCCAAAGCTGAATTCTATGTCGTTCAGCAAAAAAAAGGTGGTGAAGAGAAATCGAAAGCGAACGGCAATAGAGGAAATCGAAGACGGAGTTTTTCCTTCAAGTCGCGCCCCACACGCTCCCCCCATTATCCATCATTACTCCCCCCTTTATTTGCCACGCTCGCTATCTCAAAGTCAATACTACAACTATTTCGTCTTCTCTGCATCATCCATTAGTTTTGACTTGCGGCTGCCCCCATTTTGAAACAATTTTGAGGTCTGTGCACGTAAAAAGATTATCAGAACTTCGTTTATTGCTTATCAAATTAAATGATTAATGTTTCTTTCGTTCTGTCGTTGCTGTGTTGTTGCTCTGACTTCTTCGAAATATGTCAGCAACAGTTCTTTTCTGTTCTTTTTTTTTTTTTCAACAGTTTCACCACTGTGGTTCTTGTTATTCATTTTCATTTTCCTCTAGTTGTTGTTGTTGCTGTTGCTGTCGCTTGTGTGTTTGAGCATTTTATTGAGAAAGTTTTTGCGGCGACTTTGCGGCTGTTAACGCTTCGTCGGTTTGCTCGACTCGGCAATTGGTAGCGGCAAATCATATTTTACTTATTTTGAATATCAAATATATTCGGGCGACAGTTGTCAAACAAATTTGCATATCAGCAGCAGCAACAAGTGCCACAGGCTGGTCGGCCGCTCAATGGCTGTCACCGATGAAAAATGCCCAAGTTTTCCCACACACTTCTGATTAGCAAATTTTCAATTAAGGATTTCCCAGTCGAAGCGTGCAGATGTCACATTTGTGGCATATG